TAGTTGAAAGCACAACTCCCTAGCTCGGACACTAAGATCAAAGAGTGAATTAACTTCTGCTAATTAGAGCCGCTTTAGCTCGATCTGCATCCAATTTACTGACATGAGTCCATGACACATGCGTGCACATGCAGAAACCGATTGTCCAATTAGCTTCCACATGAAATCAACTAAGGTAGGTGTTGTTCTAGCTAGCTGTTAGCCCCACACTCTTGATTTTCTGGGCAATGCAAGCGTACACTCACAGATGCATACACGCATGGAAGCGGAGGAGCCCACGCCACAAATTGGTGTGCCTTTAAAGTTAGCCAGAAAAATAGAGTACTCCTTAGAATAGCAAGCCATCAACAATTGAAGTCCTCTAGGACATTGGACATACAAAAGAATAAAATGGGTTGGGCAGCTAGTCTGCTCCAAGCATGGCTCGACAAAGCCACGCCAGTCTTTCTAGTATATATGTTTTCTAGAAATGTCTAAATAATCTTTGATAATTAAAATGCTAAAGTTTAGTCCAATGTTATTTGGATACATGGATAAAAAGTAAGTAGTTTTTCTGGACAAAGACTCGTAGTCCATATTAGTTCATATTTGCTAACTAATAAACTAATTACTAGTTAGGTTCAAAACTAAGGATTAGTTCACTTTTAACCCACCTGTTTCGGATACCTTATGACTAAAGTTTACGGGACTAAAGCTTAGTCCATGATGCTATCAAACAAGTCCTCAGTTTGATGTCACTCAAACCAAATCCAGCAATTCAAACCGAGCAATAATGAGAGCCAGTCCTTACCTAGCTAACTGCTATGGCCGCACTGGCATAACTCGTGGATGTCAAAAAGTTTGCACAACAATATACATGTGGAAAAATTTAGGGTTTGAGAGAGATAGGAAGTAGATGTGTATTATTTTTTATTCAATTGGATACATTAATATCCGTCGTGGCCATTTATATTTGTAAGGTGAGAGTGGTCCTATCCTGATATGAATCATTTACAACTTATATTCTACAACGAAGTCCTAACTTCAACTCAGACCAGAGAAAACCGCTCTAACTATGCCAGTTTTGTCGAAACAGCCCAATTGTCTCAAAACATCTGTCAACATATATTGTCCTGTTTTTAGGTGAATTTTGTGAATTTAAAAACATATTACAGCCATAAACAAGCTAAGGGTGATGCTAGAACAGAATACGTCGAGCAAAAGTTGTTCTAAGGGTGATATTTACAGATATGATATATCGGTCATTGTTACCTTTCTGTACTTCTTGCCACAGACTTAGGTGCTACTTCCAAATATCTGCCATTAAGCGCCCAAGGTAGAGGATTTCCTTGTAGATCTCCGCCGTGTGCAATTTCAATTCATTAGTTCCATTATAAAAGTATCCGTGAAATTGATGCTCTAATATATTGTTCCCAAGCATAAATACAATTAGGAGCTAAGGATGAAAACCATGAAAGAAAAACCGTTGCAGTAAGAGATAAACAAAACAAGTGCATTTTAACCACTTCAATTGAACTCGCTTCTCCCAACTGTGCATGATGTTGACTTATATGCTCCACTGGTGGTTTTGCTATCCTCTCCATTAAAGTTGGCATGACTCAGGAACTCTCCACCTGATGGGGTAAGCAGCCGAATCAAAGTAGCACGGATAAGACTTCTATTAAGAATACTTTCTCTGGCTTTAGTTCTACACCTAGGTTTTCTTGAATTAAGTTAGTTATATCCTTCATAAATTTTGTAAAGTATTCATCCCATGTGGCCAAATCTTAGCTTAATTGTAATCTCAAAAAAAAACTTTGCTTAATTGTAGGAAGTGCTAGGCTGTGATGTATGTGTCATTGTTCTTTTTGGAGAAACTTGGGCAGATTAGGCACTATATATTTTGTTTGGAGATGTTTTAGATAATATTTGAGTCACTCATTGGTCGTAAGACCATATGGCACTTCAAAACCAACCGGAACAACTTCAGACTCATATACTGTAGTAGTATATGGCGGCACAAAATTATCTAACACGTCGATTTGGCATAGCGTAGCCGAAATAGGAGGTAAAGTAACAATAGGGGGTGTTGTAAATTGATGTGTGGCACTAACACTAAATTGGATGTTTCGGCCTCAATGGATGAATTGCATAACTTGAGTTGACTACTTTGTGTATACCCTTTTGTCGCCATTTGTAATTGTTGAACAACATCCCATAAGTTGACTAGCAACAACCAATGATGATCCACTCTTAGATTCATCATGAGACAAAGTATTAGAAACTAGAAAGAGTGTAGATTTCTTCCCTTCCCACTTATCTGAACTATAGTCTACGACTATGGCTAAAGGTTTTTGCAATCAGAAAAACATATTGGCAAACCGATCAAACATATGATTTTCAAGGATAAAAGCACACTTACATTGGTTTCTACCTCAGATGCGGATGATGTAGATGTAGAAGCAAAGAAAATCTCCTTAATCTTCGTGACAAATCCACATCAATCTATTATGAAGCACTTGAGGGCAACTTATAGATCAATGTCTTTCTGTGTTGAAAGGATCAAGATGTCCAAGAGGGGAGGGGTTGAATTGGGCTAATAATCTAAAAGTTTCCAACAATTAGAATCTATCGCTTATTAGCCAATTTCACCATAGTGCCTACACAAGTGTTTCTAGCCTACCATGCAAAGTCTTGAAACTATTTCCAACCCTAGTTGAGCATGGCAACTCTAAGAAAGTAATTGCATGAAAGTAAATTCTCAAAAGTAAGGAGAAGTGTTAGGAACATGGCGATGTTTCCCTGAGGCATTGGAGATAGTCTGCAATATCCACTAGTCATCGTTGGAGCACATGCTCAAGGGTATTGCTCCTCCTTGATCCGTGCAAAGTGCTCTCTCTATGTTAATTCTTCGCCACTCCTACACGGTGAATCACCAATAATCGTTTACACCAACTCGGGCCTCCCAAAAGCTCCTCCAAGAGATTACCAAGTCACTGATCGCCACCGAACCGTCTAGGTGATGCCAATCACCAAGAGTAACAAGTATAAACTCTCACTTGACCCAACTAAGCCTAATGAGAAGAGTGGATGCGCACTTGCTACTCCCAAAGCACTAGTCCTTCATCTTCAATTAGAAAATCTCAATCACTCCATAGGCCAAATCTCTCTCTTGGACACCAACAAGTGTAGGTGTATCTTTAGAATGCAGAGAGAGTTCTAATCATGAGATAGAGCGGTATATTTAGAGCCAACCCCAAAATCTAGTCGTTGCTCCTCCTCTCAGCAAAAACATGAGCACCAGAGAGTTTTGGTAGCTGTTACTGTACAGGCACTCTGGTGGACCACCAGAGGGATCCAATGGGTTCTCAGTCCCTTTGAAAAACATATTGGAGTCACTGTCCAGTGCGATAGCTCCGATGCACACTGGACACCTCTGGTGAGTAGAACTCACCTAGGACACCAGAAAACCTTCTTTGTAAAGAAGATCCGGTGTGACACCTCTGATGCACACCAAGGTGCAACTAAATTGTTTCCTGTCTGAAACCGTGCACTGTAGGGGAACTCCGGTGCACACTCTAGTGCAACTCCAGGGAAGTCCAATGCACCGTAAACATCTCCAAACCCATCTTCAAACACCTTTGAGTTTGGTTTTGATTTCATTGATCCTTGGGCTTCATTTGTAATACATAGCGCTAGTTTAACAAGTGTCCATCATATCCACTTACTAGACTTAAGTAGGTAAGCTACTTATTCATACTCCCTTTATAGTAGGCCAAAGGAGAAAACAAAGATCCTATCACTACTGTAAGTGTCCCCTCAATGTCGTTGACACTTAGAACTAGACAATCATTAATGTCCGCGCTCGTCCTTTAAAAACCAACATAGATACCACCAATAGGGCATGAAAACCATAGCTGCCCAACATCAATCATCATTGTGACCTCACTTAAGTAATGACGCTGGAAAACACACGTTAGTCATAATGATTGTGTGGCAGACTTGCCTGACAAAACTCAATCCAAGCGTACTCGCCATCCATTTAGCACTAAGTACCCAATAGACCTAGTTAAACAAACAAGTCTATTGAGCACACCACCATGGGAGAACTCGAAACAATCAATGATTTATGCCAGAATCCATAACAAATGAATAAAACTTACAACGTAGGAACATTTCATACATCACATGGGTTCATCATCTCATATAGAGGATGAATGACAAGTGTTTTGCCTCCGCATGCCACTACACAACATAAAGTAAATTAACTAAACGACGATACATGTGACACCATCGCAGTGCCCACCAGGAGAGTACCACCACAGCAACATAAGGTCTCCATTTTGGACCAAGCTGCAAGGCCCAAAGGAGATGAAGACCTACTACTACTCCATGCTCTCACCTACAAAATTGGGGGCAAAACCCTAAGTAATGAAGTGTACTCAACAAGACTTGCCCGAATAAGGTGGGAGTAGTATCCCGACTCTCAAAGGATATGCATGGGGCTTTTGGTTTGCTGGTTCTTTTGTCTTTTACGAAAGCTTACTAGAAGTAAGTCCTTATATTTAAATTTTACTAGTCATGTGTAGTTTTATTACCTAACCAGTTTAAGTTTGCACCTAAAACTACTTTCAAGCAAGTGGTAAGCAATCAGATTATCAAGTTCCCATAACAAAGATTTCTCCTCCATGGTTACAGTTGCATTACTATTAAGGTAGACAGCGGCAAAGTGGTATCGTCTATACCCGAGGAGAGACGGCGATTGCAATCGATTAACATCTAGCTGGATTAAACCTACACACACACCCGTACTAACCCTGCTAGGCTCGCATAAGGCAACCGCTCCCTCTCTCACTAACCAAGGCCCAGACCGACATAGCTTGCCCTGGGGACCCGATCCCACCGGCCATGTCCTGTACAAGCTCAACGCGTGAGTTACAGTCGTGGTCCCCACCTCCTTACTACAACCCGAGGGGCCGGTGTAGCAGCCTAGTAAACAACATTTTCAATTAAAAAATGAAATGGTTGACACTAGGATTCAACTCTTTCTGCAGCAAGCAGAGACCAGAAAAGGTCACCTCACTTGGACTGTTAGTGAAGGTTTTTTTATTGCCATCTTATTCTTGGTCCTCCACATTGACCAGGTGAGACTAGAAAAATTAAAACAGCTAAACTTTGAGAGATTCCTACGGTAGGTAGACATGTCACCATGAAATCAGAGCAAGAAGTATGAGAATCGTTCCACTAGAATGCCTCCCTTAGGCAAATCTCATGCATGTTTTTCTGCATACACATTCTCTGGTCTGTTAATCTTCTCTGCCATCCATACATGACATGCATCAACCTATACGAGAACCATTAAGCATGCCACAACATCATGTATTAATTAAGCATATCTTATCTAATTAACAGGGAGTTTACAATGGGGAGGAAATTGCAGTGAAATTGCTTCACGAGATAATTGGAGCTGACGAGAGTCAATTTGAGAATGAGTTTAGTAATCTTTTGAGTATCAATCATCCACATATTGTAAAGTTAATTGGTCATTGTTATGAAATGCATAAAGAACATGTTGAATACAATGGCAAACTACGTTTCTCTCAGCGCACATACAGAGCTATCTGCTTAGAATACTTGCAGGGTGGAAGCCTAGACAGGTATCTAACAGGTAAATACACTTCAACTTAATTCTATTGCTTTCTTGCAACAAAAATTTATGAAAAATAAATTCTTCAATATTATTCTCATTTTCTACTAGCTTGTTACAATGGATCTTGCGATCGTGACTGGCGCACCCTTTTCAATATAATTAAGGGGGTCTGTGAGGGCTTATATTTCCTCCATGAAGGATGTGGAACACCAATTCTTCACCTGGATTTGAAACCTGCCAATATATTGCTGGACGACAATATGGTTGCCAAAATTGCAGACTTTGGATTGTCAAGGCTCTTCCACGGAGCAAGTACCCATGTCACACAAAGAGAAAGTGTTACAGGAACGACATGAGTGAACTTCCTGACTTGACATGTTTTCTCAGGTCCAGACTGTGTTCTGAATATTTCTCTTTCATGCAGGAAATACATGGCGCCAGAGTATCAATACAGAAAAATGATCTCGCCCAAGAATGACGTTTTCAGTTTAGGGGTTACAATGATAGAGGTAATGGATGGACCTACGGGTTATGACGAATTTTGTCAAATGGGTGACGTAAAAAAATTTATTGATCAGGTATGGGAAACAATCCTTTGATTCTAAGAATAGTTTTCGTTTGCGTAGTACTATACTATCCCTCCATTTTCAATTCCACTTTTATGTTCTGAATGTACAGGTAAATATGGATTGGACAAAACAGATAAATGCAACCGCATCACCGTGCGCATCAACAGAATCTGACCAAGTGGATATCTGCATTACAATAGCAATGAAATGTGTTGATGGTGAAAGAAACAATAGGCCTACTGTAGCAGAGATCGTGCATATCCTCAAGGATACTGAAAAAAGGTTTCTGGAGGAATCCATCAATCACACACAATTTCTCATGGATCAGGTATATCTGCAACAATACAAGTACACAGAAATGGCAACATATACTGGGCCCAAACTACCAATGGTATAGCTCACCAGATAAATAGTGTCCATGATCACTCCCGGGTCAAACCAGCTGGGCCTGCTTGTTGGGAACATGCGGCAGCAAAAATTGACAAGTCGCGACTGCTAAATGAGAATAAATTAATTGACTAAAAGTAATCTTAGGGCAGTCCCAACTCTTTTTTTAGACAAAGGGCAGTCAAAACTCAGAAGCTATGATGGTTATTAATTAGAGTGCCAACTAAGCAAAATGATGATTTAGAATTAAGGAATAGAGAGAGGAAGAAATGTTTAGGCCATATTAGTGGGTGTTTCGTTAAGCGGTTTCCAAAGGTGCCACGTCATCTTTAAAGGTTTAGGTTGATGAATGAAACAATCTCTCCTAATGCACAGTTTCATATGCAAATCAAAGGCACGGATATTTATATGTGTAGTGTCTACATACTCATAGTTTCTAGGTTGGAACCGTCCTTATATAAGTCTACTAATAGGATGGATAGAGTATTATCAGTATGGCTAATCTTTTGATATTGAACTTAATTGTTCGCATACTAACGTCTTTGTTCGTGGACTAACAAACCATTGTAGCTTTAATTTTTCACTGGATTCACTTTGAGTCCATCTATGTCTATGTTGGATGAAACATTGCTGACGCACATCTACAAATTACATCCATGCAGAGTTTGTCCAGTGACATCATTAAGAGTGGACTAGTTGGTGGAAAAGCAGGTACTGCACGAGACAAAGAGGAAAAGCCATGGCGTTTGGAGAGTCTGACAATTAGCTACTCAGGATTAATCGATGCGTTCTCGTTTTCGTACATTGACAAAGCTGGAAAACAACAAACCGTTGGCCCTTGGGGCGCAGGATACAGTCACCCACAAGAAAAAACCGAAACGGTGTGCTTGTACGCATGCAGTACATAATCTAGTCTTTGGATCTTTTGTTATGCCGTTCTATAATTAACTATACGGTTTTCTAATCGTTTATTGGTGTGTTGTTTTGTAGATCCATTTTGAGCCATCGGAGTTTGTGGAAGAGGTATCTGGGTTTTATGGGATTCATTTTGACAACATTCTTATGATGTCACTTACGTTCGTCACCAACATCAGAACCTACGGACCTTTCGGAAATCCGTATCATCAAAATGTGCCATCAACCCCTTTCAGCTTCAGTGCTGCAGAGGACAGTAGCATAGTGGGATTCCATGGTAGATCTGGACAACACCTCTATTCAATTGGAGTATACATGGTATGAATTACAGCACGTACTATGATGCATGCAACGTGTCAAAAATTTAGTTAATGGAGGTGTTTAATTTGCTTTCAGACCCAGTGCCCCAGCAATATGAAGATACGTCGGCCCCTCCCAATGCCAGGACATGTAAGAACTCTAACGCTATTTACATATGTACCAGCAACATTATATATATTGTAATATTTGGTCCACCTACCAACTTTATATCCGTGGGATGTTAAGGGGGTATTTGGCACTGCTCTGCTCCAGATTTTGCAGCTATGCTCCAACTTTATCTTGCCAAAAAACACCTCCTGCTTCTAAAACTCCGCTCGAGGAAAAGATGGATTTGGAGGCCAGCTCCATATTTTTAAAGGAGTACCTCAAGGGATACTCCAGGATTTCGACTTCCATATATACTTTCTCAGGAGTTAGGGAAATTATCCACCACTGTCACCCAATTACACAAAGATATCGAACATCACTGACGGGCATACACCAAAAATCATTGCGGTGCATATATTAGACCTTTTCCAAGTATGTGCCAAACAACCTGCTCTCGTAACTCCAGAGTGGAGGTCCTTTATGAAAGAGTTAGTGGAATAGAGCTGAAAAAACTTAAGCATAGCAATCTCAAACAGGCCCTAAATATATAAGTGAAGGCCTGGAATGGTGACCAGAGAAGGGGTGAATGGGATTCAATTTGTTCAAGCCAAGCAGATGAATAATATGTTGGCAATGTCCCAAATGTTACCTACAAACCTCTTTCAATAGTACTAGCCAAGATCTCGTAGTCACAGCAGACATACAGACCCAAGAAACTAGTTTGGAGAGATACGAAAGCGATTGGGTGCAAAAAAAAGACAAAATCTGAACAAATTCAGCCAAAACTGGCTTAGCCGGTTTCAAAACTGGTTTTGTTGTTTTCAGCCCATAAACTTGGAAAGGAAAAAGTCAAAACTCAATCAAATGACCTCCAAATACCATGAATTTTTGTCAAAACATCATAAATAACATGTCCATAAAAAATCACCTCCGGTTTGGCTAGTTTTGCAAACCGGTCTGGCAAGTTTTTTTATTGTTTTTGGCAGAATCCTCTCCAAGAAAAATTCAAAATCAATTCAAATCAAAATTTTTTGAAACTTTGCACACAACCTGAATAACCCATTAAGAAGTTGTCCCCAAGATATCAAGTCGAAAACATCAAAGCTTGAAACAGAATTTCAGAATAACTCTCTCAAATTGGGGTTTTGTCAAGAGCACTCCAAATGATGATTTTTAGGTGTTCATCGGAAATCAGTAAAAACTAGTGGCTAGATAAGTTCTCAAGAATTCATAGCACCTAAATGTCAACCAAGAACAACCTAAAACCTTCAGCTCAAAGATCTCCAAGAAAATCACCAAAAGAGGCTTGAAAAGGAGAGTTTTGGGGCTTGGAACCAAGAGATTAAAAACTGGGCTACAAGACATGGATTAGATATGTTCCAAGGATCCTAAAGACTCCCAAAAATGTGCCAAAGACTCAGCCTAAGAAGAAGCAAGAAATTCTCTAAAAAATGACCACGAAAATCACCGAAAATGAGAAATTTCAGATTTGGGGAAGTAGAACAAGTGGTGCACGAATTCGATCTTTGGATTACTTCACCATATGTGATTACAAGACACTCCTAGCAGATCACAAAGCTTGATGGAAAAAATCTCAATCAAAGAGCCACTCGTCTCTCCCTCTCTTCTAGCCCTAACCAAAAGCTCTCAGCCTAACAAATGAGAGTCTAATCCAAAGGCTTCCCAAAGGCTTGGTCTCTCAACCAGCCATCTCCCATATATATAGACACTTGGCTATTTCCCATGTTTCCCTTACATAAAGCACTCAACCTAAATACCCCTAGGGGTAAAATGTTCCAAGTTTCTAGCCATCGATCCAACGGACACGGTGCCTTCTTTACTTCACTTCGCCTAGATGCAAGCTCCGAGATTCCATCATGTATTTGTCAGTCTGCCATTCCCCGGTTTTTAGGACCAAACCGGTCAAACCAGCAAACCCTACTCCAATGGTTTTGAGGCCCAAAACCACGAAACCATCATGCACGCCTCGTCAGACATGACTAACTGATATCGACGCGTGTTCGACCTTCCTTGTCCTTGGCCCTATGGTCCACCAAGCGCTCATGGCACCGCGCTGTGACTTGGTCCAAGCCCTGTCCTTGACTTAGTCGACGTCATCTCCATTATCACCCATGTATTCTTGATCTTCCTGTGCCCAGTGTGAGAGCCACACACGGTCCATTCTCCAGCCTCCGATCCTTTGTGGATGTGCGGCCTACTATAGAAACTATAGAAACCATCCTTCGATCCTCATGCCACCGAAACACTATAGAAACTGTCCTGGCGAGGCCTACTATGGAAACCGGCCTAGATGGTTTCGTCTGAATAGGTTTTGGAGAAAAAGGCAAAATTCTATCAAGCAATCTTTAAAAAAATAAGAAATTTGAACCAAAACTTTACAACATCATGATGAACCAATCTCAAGAAGATCAACTCCAAAAGAGCAAGTCACAAAAACCGACTTGGCCTGCTTCTCCATAAAATAGGGGATTAGCTCAAAAAAATCCAAAACCACTCCAAATCACCTCTAAAAATTATGAAACTTGGCCCCGACCTTAATACTTATGGTGAAGGTAATCCTATTTAATATTTCCAAAAAGGTCTAGGCTTCATTATGAATTGAAGGATTCCTCTCTCAAATCATGAATTTCTCAAGAAAGGAAAAAAGAGAGGGAATTGAAGGTACTCATGCATGGGAAATCTATTGAAGGAAAAGTCTATATGTGTTCTCAGGACCTCATATACAGCACTTAACCAGTCAATAACGTTGCAAGAACTCCAACTCGAAGATTTTCATGAAATCCACCAAAACAGGCATGCAATTAGAGAAGGTTTTTGGAGGGAGGAACTTGGGTGATAAGAGCTAGGCTTGAAGCCATGATATGAACAAGTTCCAAGGACCTCAATACACTAAAAAATTGTGCCTATAACTCATGCAAAGGAAAATATAAAAAATCCTAGAAAAATAGTTGTGAAAATCTCCATCTCTTCCTTTAATCCTAGCCTTCTCTTTCACACACAAAATGAGATAGACACCTCCAAGGGATGGCTTCCCCAACCATCCACCTCCACTATATATAGGCACTTATTATCTCTCAAATTTCCCTTACATAAAGCACTTAACCCAAATACCGTCAACACAAACAATCCATATTTTTGTCGGTGCATCTGATGCTCCTAACATATTCATGACTTCGCTTTCCCTCACAGCAAGATTTGTGATGGTGCCAAGCATAATGAAACTCGTCACCCAATTTTGAGGCCCGGACAAACTAGTCAAACCTCCCACCAGTAGTTTTGAGGCCCAAACTACAAAGTCCTCTATGCCTAGTTTTGAGGACCAAACTAGCGAAGCCCCCCACACACCACGCAAGGTGTGACTCACCAATATCAATGTGTATTCAACCTTTGCCAAGGCCTAGATGCATTTGCCTTCCTCTTTGACTTGACTGACATCATCTTCACTATCCTAATGTAGGCATGTGTCCAGCCTATGCCAAGTGCCCGACGATGTCATCCTCCTCCTCGGCTTGGTAGACGCCATCTTCATCATTCTTTTGCCGACATTTCTTCTGCACTCTCCATGTGAGCAACCCAGATTGCCCATGGCTCCTTGGAAAGGACGGTCCCTTCAGCACCAAAGTCTCAACTCGGCCTTCACCATAGCATAGTCCATAGGCACGAAGCCATAGCATCGCATGGTCCATCGGTGTGAAGCGCCTAGCCTGCACTTCACCACACCACTCATCCACTACCCATCATGCCTCATCCTCAAATAATACTCTCTGGTTAGCTAAAGCATATAATCATATGCACACTATCACAACCCTACTTGGGGGAGGGGGCTGCAGCTGTTGCTGAGGGTGCAGGGAGCGGCGGCGGCTAGGGCAGGGCAGGAGTGAGCGCAAGGAGAGAGGTGCGGCACGATGGTAGCGGGAGAGGGAGGGAGAGAGAACTGAGGTTGAGAAGGGAGAAGGGTAGGGGAAAAGCAAAGCTCTATTTCTTCTTAAGATTGAAACGGTTACATTGCCCTATATTTATAGTTCCTAGCGGACTTGGATCCCAAGCAAACTAGAGGAGGAGTCCTTATAGATTTGAACTTCTCCTTTCCTAAAAAAACCGATCTATTTCGTAAGCAAACAGAATCTTATTTTGTAAACAAAACTCTATGTTATTTTCCTTAAAATTATCCAAGACTTTCATCTATTCCGGATTCTTCAAGGAGGGAGGGGATCGAGGGGCGGCGGCGGCAGCCGTGCCCCCTGGCTCGCACGCCTCCCTGCCTGAGCAGGAAGAGGCCAAGGCCGACCTGGGCCCAGCGCTGGGCCTCACTCGGCCTGACTTGGGGGCCATATTTAGGTGTGTGACACACACATGCAACATGTGATGCACCACTGGAAGCTCTAAACCTCTCAAACACATGTGTCAATCATTCATCACACTAGGGCAATCCAAGGCATATCCCAATTGTTTTCTCAGTTTGCATCACCCTCTCTTAAGTACGAGATTCTGGAGCAATGTCTTTTCCTGGCCTTCTGAATGACCGCCCAGCCCATTGAGACCCTTTTTTTTCTGTAACCGTTTATTTTGGTTCCCATTTTACACTATCTCAGACGTAACATTGCGTTGGATGATTAATTGCTGACACTCGGATGCAGATCTTGCCCACTCCCACGAAAACCGGACCATGGGGTGGAAGTGCAGGTATAGCCCGTGACATCAACGAAAAGCCCTGGCGTCTGGAGAGCCTAACGATTAGCTACTTGGGCCTGATCGACGCATTCTCATTTTCACACACTGACCAAGCTGGGAAGAAACACAGCATTGGTCCCTGGGGCGAAGGATACCATCACGACAAAATTGAAACGGTGTGTTAATTCTCATGCTGTCTGTCATTCATACACGTGCATAATCTAGTTTTGATAGTTGCTCCTTGCGCTGCTATAGTTAATTATATATGGCGCCAGTTTCATCCCTCCAGCCTTTATTTGGAATGTCTGCAGATCCGCTTTGACATTTCTGAGTTCGTGGAAGAAGTATCGGGAGCATATGGGAGTCATTCTGGGAATGTTCTTGTGACGAGTCTTACTTTTGTCACCAATATCAGAACCTATGGTCCTTTTGGAAATGCACATCATCAAAATTTGCCAGCAACACCTTTCAGGTTCAAAGCTGATAAGGATAGCAGGATCGTGGGGTTCCACGGTAGATCTGGCAAACATCTCTACTCGATTGGTGTTTATACTGTCTAAACTACAGCAATGCCAGGCATGCGCAGCTTGTTTCTATTTATCTCATCAATGCATTAGTTTAATTTGCTTTTTAGTTCCGGTGCCGCAGCAATAAGACGATGGACACATCGCACATGATGCTGCTGCCTTTGGTGTTCCTATCGGTCACCTAGATCATCAAGAACTGTATCTCCCTTCACGAGTCTTAAGCATGTACCATGGATCATTGTGTTCAATATTTTCAATCATTTTTCGTGTGTTTTGTTATGCAGTGTCATGCTTTATTGTACTGCTTTAGCTTAATGTTTTTCTCCCGTTGCAATGCACTGGTATAAACCTAATGTATGCATGATTCATGACATTATTGATAATTGAAGTGATAATAATCCTCTGGAGTTATTCCATAAGACCATGACAATGCAGCAAGCAAAGGGAAGGACCGAAGAGGTCACAGTGCAAATGAGAGAATATATGATATGATATGTATGCAAAGGTCGATCAGTCATATATCATAATCAGTCATGCATGCCACTGATTATGGTACAACTATATATATTACTCATCATCATCAGCACCCTCTATTTTAATTTGGCATGACTCCACGAATTTGAGCTGGAACCACAGCTGTGCCGAGATCCCTTCGTCTTGGATGCTACCTCTCATGGCCTCCCAGCAGGTGTTGGTCTGTGCCAGTAGCTTTGAAAGATCTGTGACAGCTTCTGAAACTCTGCTCACCGTGTTGCTGTGCCGGGCGCGTGAGGTCACTCTGTTTGCTTCACGCTCCTCTTCCTTGGAGAGATCGGACTGCGCCAGGCGCAGCGCTCTCTCCAGCTCCTTGACCTTTGAGAGACGCTGCCTCTTCCTCTCCGCTTCTCCGACGAGTTTCTCCCAGTCCAAGGCCGCATCATAATCCTTGATAGAGGCAAGGCCACGCGTCACAGAGCGAAGGGAATTATTTTCCGTGGTCCGATGGCCCTGCATTATTTGTTCTTCTTCGCTTTGCTTCGTCGCTTTTGCGTCATCATCAGAGAGGTTTTTCTTCAGATCCTCTAGCTCGCGCATCAAACTGGATACCTCCTTTGAGACGGCATGACCATGCAACAGCATTTTCCAGCTCTCTAGGCTCTTTGCTATCTTGGCGACCAGAGCAACCTTGTCCAGCACAGGCGCACCTATCAGCTCCTTGATCTTGTCCAAATCCTGCCGCACGTATCCCATTGCCATGCTTATCCATGATTCGTATGATTTAGGAACCACGATTTTTTTGTTTGATTCGGGGTGGCGAAGAAGCTTGTTGATGTAACCCCATACTTGCATGGTGCGCTCTAAGCTGGATCTTATTTCAGTGGAGAGAAGCGAAACCGATTTTATGTTCACCATTACATCTGAAGAAAGAAAGAGAACAGGTAGTACGAACAGCATGGTCAATCATCACAAAAAAAAGTTGTTGATGCATGACTAGCGATCGAGTTTGAAGTAAGTGTGTGTGTATATATACATATATATATATATATATATATATATATATATATATATATATATATATATATATATATATATATATATATATATATATATGTTGACGAAATATGGTCGGCAGTCTACCTAGGGGTATGCTTAAGGTAGTAGATTGTCGGTAGACAGATGCGCAAGCCACAAACAAGATGGTGACGCAAGACAGACACAAGGTTTTATCCAGGTTCGGCCGCCAAGAAGGCGTAATACCTACGTCCTGCGTCTGATTGTATTACTGTATGTCAATGAGAGATGTTTTTTAGAGGGATCCCCTGCCCGCCTTATATAGTCCGGGGGACAGGGTTACAGATCTGGAAACTAATCATAACCAGTTACAATTGCCATAGGTGGCCGGATAAGAATTCCTATTCTAACCGACCAGGATCTTGCTTGATCGCCAAATCTGTCTTGACTCCATGCGCGGGACTCCGAACAGGTCGGCTGGGCCGCGCGTCATCTTTTAGCAGACCGAACCCTCTGATCCGGGCCGGCCCAAGCCTAGTCGTAAGGGTATAGGGGTTAATACCCCCACAGCTAGTCCCCGAGCACCATGTATTATGCTGCGACACGCCGTTTGATCTCCTTCGACTAATGCAATCCGTCTTCATGTCATTTTCAACTGATTGAAACATTGACCAATCAAATGCGCCAACATTCTAATCAGTACAGAAAGCAGTAGACCACGATTATAGCCGAAGATTTCGGTTGTCCGAAGAATGCATGGTGCTCTTAAAGAAAAAAGAAAAAGATTTCTTTCCTGATCAAGTGTGCCCACTTGTATTTCTAAAAAGAAATGTAAGTGACCCTTGTACAGTAGTTGTTATGGCCAACAGTCAGAGCGTAAGGGTCGATAAAATAAACACATTCACCACAAGGTGAAGTGTGCCCACTTAGTCCCCGAGCCTGGTAGTAGGTGACGTAGGCACGTGGTGCCAGTGTCTAAAAAGAATTCCCATTCAAATCCAATCATAATACAAGCGATACGAGATGCACCGGCAGGTGCATCGTACCGATGTAGTCCCCGAGCTTGCTGGAAGGCAAAGTATAAGCCTCGTAGCAAGGTCTAAATAAATGTCTCTCAACTGTATGTGAGTACAAATCACATGTAGCCGAGGAGAGCGGTCTCTCGAAAGTGGTGGGGACAGTTTCGAGCCCGATAGTAATCCTGACAATCAGTCAAAGCGTAGGGGTCGATTAAATAAACACATTCACCGCAAGGTGAAGTGTGCCCACTTAGTCCCCGAGCCTAGTAGTAGGTGACGCAGGCACGTGGTGCCAGGGTCTAAAAAGAATTTCTACTGAAGTTAAGAATCCAGTCGTCGTACAATCAATACGGGATGCACCGGTAGGTGCATCGTACCAATGTATCCCCCGAGCTTGCTGGAAGGCAAAGTAGAAGCCTTGCAGCAAGGTCTAAATAAATGTCTCTCAACTGTATATGAGTGCAAATCACATGTAGCCGAGGAGAACAATCGCCGAGCATTCTTCGGAACCGTCCCCGAGCACGGTAGTGGTCTGGACCATCCCTGAGCACGAGTAGTGGTCTGGACCATCCCTGAGCACGAGTATTGCAGCGAAGAAACAAATGTCGCTTGTACTATTACTTGGTGTATTTATATATCTTCTTACTCTGTCAAGTCAAATCTGACACGTCTGGTAAAAAAACAGACGGGTATAGCACGTCATACTGCCCTCTTGTCCTTTCAAGCAAACAGTCGCTTGGCACCTGTAAGGAGGTGCGTCAGTGTGGGCCCTCTCACACTAGCAACGAAGAGGCGCGTACACTAGTAACGAAGGGGCGCGTATATTGGCATAAATCTCGAGGTTGTGAAAACAACCGTCTGCGGTGCGTGCACACGTCTCCCAAGAATCATGGGCAGTCAAACCGGCAGAACTCTTGGTTATTTATAATATAGAACTAGTAAGTTACTTTTTACCGATCCCCATTACCATTCACCGTCGCAGCCTTCTTCTTCTTGCCAACCCTAATACCTCCGAAATCATCACCAATAACCCCTCCACCACATCCACCTCCATCAGCAAGGGCAGATTCATGGCGAAGAGTGACGCCCAGAAGAAAACCGGAGTCATGGCGAAGGAGTGGTGGAAGTCAAGAAGCAACGAGCAGACCATCGAAGACCTCGTCATCATGGGAGTACTCCACGACAAGGCACTCGCAGGATGGCGCACGCCGAAAGGAGAAGGGTACCCCGATCCACAACCAGGTGAGATTGTGGTTTTCGAAGATTTCTTCAAGCGGGGTTTTGGGGTTCCAGTGCACCCTTTCCTTCAGGGGCTCTGTTTGTATTACAAGATTGGGATTTAAAATCTGCATCCCAACTCGATTCTTCTTGTCTCCACCTTCATTCATCTTTGCAAAGCATATGGTGGCTTCCAGCCCCATTTCGACTTCTTTCGCCATCTTTTCTGTCTGCGGAAGAAAGGAAGCGGCGGCTCGAAGATAGCCGGAGGTGTGTACCTTAATCTGCGTGACGGGATGAAGGCCCAGTACTTGCACTGCCCTTGGAACACATCGCAAGGTATTTGGCTGTACGTACACAAGAATCGAGCCGCTTTTCTTCTGCACTATTCACTTCTAGCTCCCGTACTTCATTAACCTTGCCTTCGTCAAAGTTCTCTACCCATGCTGATCTAAAAGCTATATCTGCTGGGAGGACTGCCTCAGTGCCGTAAACCATAAAGTATAGTGAGACGCCGGTGTTACGACTGGGCTGAGTTCTGAGGCCCCAGACCAAGGCTAGTAACTCTTTGAGCCATTTTCCGGGAGCTTTATCATTTTCTATGTACATCCTCTTCTTCAATGCGTCCAAAATCATACCGTTTGCCCGCTCGACCTGTCCATTAGCTCTAGGGTGTCACCGAGACGTATTTTACTACTATGCTCCTTTCATCGCAGAAGTCCCAAAAAGCGTTCCCCGGTGAACTGAGTACCCAGATCAGTGATGATGCTGTTGGGTATGCCGAAGCGATGGATGACCTGGTCGAGGAACATGACAGCCTTTTCTGAGGATGCCCGTACCAGAGGCATGTACTCTATCCACTTAGAAAATTTGTCAATCAGCGCGAAGACACATGTAAATTTCCCAGGAGCCAGTTTGAAGGGTCCTATCATATCCAGTCCCCAGCATGCGAAGAGCCAAGAGGCTGGTATTGTCTGGATCTCATATGCTGGTACGTGGATTCTCTTGGCGAAGATCTGACAACCCTCACAGTGGCAGACTAGCTTCTCTGCATCGGCTACCGCTGACGGCCAATAGAACCCTGCTCGGAAAGCCTTGCCGACCAGCGTTCTCGAGGCCGCGTGGTTGCCGCAGGAGCCAGAGTGGATTTGGTCCAGGAGGTGTGCGCCATCGTCCTGGGTTATACACTTCATCAAGATTTCCTCCTTTGCGTTCTTGCGCCATAACTTGCCATCGACGAGCAGATACTGCTTACTACGATGCATCAGGCGTTCGTTTTCTGCCCGATCAGTGTAACCGCTGCCATCTGTCAGGTACTTGATGAAAGGTACTCTCCAGTCGGGCTTATGAGTGGTCGGAGGTGGCTCGGTGGTGCTCGACGCCGGAACTATAGCCACCAATTGCTGGTTTAGAGGCTTGTCGACCGTGGGGTCTTCCTCTTCGATGGAAGGCGTGAGCAGGCCTTGGATGAATACGCCATGTGGGACTTTGGCTCGGGATGATCCTAACTGGTACAGCGCATCTGCTGCTTGATTTTTGTCCCAGACCACATGTGTGCACTCGATGCCATAGAACTTGCCTTCCAGCTTTTTGATCGATTTACAGTATGCATCCATCTTTTCGCTGGTTGTGTCCCAGTCCTTGTTGAGTTGGTTGATGACCAGAGCCGAGTCTCCGTAGACATAGAGACGTTTAACACCAAGCTCGACCGCAATGCGCAAACCATGTAGGCATGCTTCATACTCGGCGGCGTTATTAGATGCTGGGAAATAAATCCTGAGGACATACCGGAGCTGCTCCTTGGATGGTGACACAAAAAGGACTCCTGCTCATACGCCGTCAATGTTGAGAGAGCCATCGAAGTACATCTTCCAATACTCGTCGGGCCCCTAAGAGGCAGGCGTGCTTAAGTCTGTCCACTCGATGATGAAATCGATGAGTGCCTGAGACTTGATTGTGGTACGGCTTGCAATTTCCAAGGAGAAGAGGCATAGCTCCATTGCCCATTTGACGATGCGCCCGTTCGCATCCTTGTTGCTAATGATGTCTCGCAGAGGGTACTCAGTCATGACCAGCACACGATATCCGTCGAAGTAATGTTTCAACTTTTGGGATGTTATCAGTATGGCGTAGATCAATTTCTAAATCTGTGGGTACCTGGTCTTAGATTCATTGAGTACCTCACTGATGAAATAAATTGGTCGTTGTACCTTGTAGACGTGGCCGGGCTCGTCGCGCTCGACCACCATGGCAGTGGAGACCACTCGATTAGTCGCCGCAATGTAAAGCAGGAGTGTTTTGTCTTCTCTGGGAGCAGTGAGGACCGGAGGTGACGTAAGGTATTGTTTAAGCTGTGTGAAGGCAGCGTCTGCTTCCTCCGACCACTCAAACTTCTCGGATGCTTTGATCAGTTTAAAGAATGGTAATCCTTTTTCGCCTAATCTTGATATGAAACAGCTGAGAGCGGCCATGCATCCGGTAAGCTTCTGAACATCCTTCACCTTTTTGGGCGGCTTCATGTCCAAGACAGCTTTGACTTTCTCCGGGTTAGGGCGTATGCCGTCGTGACTGACGACGTTGCCAAGTAGTATGCCAGAAGGAACACCAAAGATGCACTTCTTTGGATTTAATTTCCATTGGAATGTGTTAAGGGCTGCAAAGGTGCGTTC